CACGATCACCATCAATGCGCTTGCTGCTGGTGCCAAGGTCGTCCGGGCCATGCGTCACACCAGCCTCTTTTTGTCGACCAAAGTGGTCAACCTGCAGCTCAGAGCCGACTCGCGCATGCACGCACAAGAGATTGCCAAAGATGTATCCAGCGAATGGTCGACGAGGCGGGGCCACCTCCAGGCTTTTCGCAGGCTCAGGTCCATCGGGGCAGGCTCCAAGAAGAAGGTTCGGCATCGAGTTTTACCCATTCTCAGCGGTTTCGACGAACATCCACTCGACTCGGAACGAGCTGTAGCCGATATGTGGACACAACACTTCGCCCTCATCGAAGCTGGTCCAGTCATCCCGTTCTCGGACCTGGCCTGGCGCAGCTCAGGGATCCAGGAGTTGCCCCAGGAGCTTCTCGATCGCATCGCGTTCGCCCGGAGGATCTCTACACCATGGCGCAGGTGTTGCATGCTTTGCGTTCAGCTAAGCCGCCGGCCGCAGGGCCAGACGGTATCACGGGCAACATGGTCCGCAAGCTCGCTGGCGAGCTTGCTCCGCTGCTGCTGCCATTGTTCCTAAAGGCCCAGGTCTGCATCTCGGAGCCTATCCAGTGGAAAGGTGGTGTTTACTGGCCCCTGCACAAAAAAAGGCAGTCCAGCTTCGCGTCTCAAATACCGATCCATCCTTGGGTCTTCTCAGCTCGGGAAACGTTTTCGAAGTCTGCTGCGACGAGATGTGGCGCCCCTTTTGCAGCCGCTGGCGGGCCCCCGTCAGTGTGGAGGAGTGGCTCATGGAGGCGCGGACTTTGCAGCACTGGAAGTGCGCACCATGCAGGAGATCGGCCACCGGTCGGGGCAGTCCGCGCTGTTTATCCCTACTGATGCAGTGCAGGCATTTTATAGATCGGCCAGGGAGCTAGTCTTCGAGACAGGTGCTTCAGACGAGGTGCTGGCCCACATCCTCAAACTTGCTGGGCTTCCACCGGAGGCCATGGATGAACTCGAGGCGTGCATCAAGGCCCATGGGCCCATCATGGGGGCTCCGCAGTTCCCCAAGAGGCTTCGCGCGCAGGTGGCGGACTGCTATCAGTCCAACTGGTTTGTGGTCCCAGGGAGCTCCACCATGGCTTCTCCTCAAGAGGGAACGGGACCTGGCCAACAACTGGGGGGCCTGGTGTACAATTTCGTCATGGCCTTCGTGGCCAAAGAAGCCCAGGACGCGCTGGTTGATCTTGGGATTGAGTTACGCATTCCTGTCTCGGAGGCCCGCTCTTAGCACGTGCCTGGACCAGAACACGCAACATGTGCATACCGACCATTCTTTGGACATGGCTTTTTTTCGACGATGAGATGTTCATGCTCCTAGGAAGCCCGTCCTTCCTACTACGGCTTGCGCCGTTTGCCGCCAGCATCATCTTCGACGCGTTCGGGTCCAGGGGTATTCAGCTTCATACCGCCAAGGGGAAAGCTGCTGCCCTATTCCAGCTACGCGGTAAAGGATCAGACATCGCGAAACGCCGTCTCTGGTTGCAGTGGGGTGGTACCATTCGGTTCGTCACTAGGCTCTACGGCCACATCGACCTACATGCAGTCAGACAATGTACCCACCTCGGAACTGTGCTCGACGAAGGTTGTTCTTTAGGACCCGAGCTAGCGCATCGCCGTCAAGCTACAGTTTCTGAATGGAAGAAGCTTCGTAGCGTCGTAAGATATCCTCACCTCGAGAATCGTATCGGCATGATGTTGATTGATTCTCTTATGTGTTCGAGCTGGCTGTACCAGGCATGCACTTGGCCGGCTTTAACGCTGGCGCAGTCGGCCCAGCTGGCCGACGATATTGTTCGCATGTACAGAGCGGTCCTCCACTGCCCGAGGGTTGACAAGACCGCGCTGTCATCAGCGCAGATCCTTGCCAAAGTTGCCAAGCCAGATTTGAACTCCATGCTGCGGGTGCACAGGCTGAGACTTTTTGGACGGCTCCTGCATCATGGGCCAGCACATATTTTGGCTCTAGTGGGATATTGCGCTACCCTGGGCACTAACTCGTGGTTACACCAGGTCATCCGAGATCTAAAATGGGTCCGTCAGCACCACTACCGCCTGAAGGAGCTCCCCAAGGCCACCGAAGATCTCGCAGCTTGGGAATATTGCATCCTAGGTTCTGAGGCTCGCTGGAAGGTCTCCCTCAAGGTTGCCCTGCAGGCCCACATTTCGCATCATGCTAGAATTACTCTTGCCGCTGTCGCGGAGGCCGAAACTTTTCAGGTATTATACGATGCAGGTGTTCCGAAGGCCTTTACAGATCCCAGCCACCCCCTGATGGGTCCAAGACCAAGCCACCATGCCATCGTACACGTGTCTGTGGTGCCCGGAGAAGTTCGACACCATGAAGGGGTTCAAGCAGCGCACGGCCCGCGAGCATTGGACGTTCATATATAGAGTACGCACACATCTAGGACACACCAAGCAATGTCAGCACTGTCAGACTACGTTCGCAGCACGAAAGCCGTTAATTGAACATCTTGCTTTCTCGTCACCGAAGTACGCGCTTGCCATGCTCAGCACGCCCTCCGATTGTTCCTACGACCAGGTAGAGAAGCTCAACGAAGAAGCTGCCAACACTGCGGCACAGAAAAGAGCAGCTGGCCTTGGTCGATGGCGCCCAGAGGTCCCAGCTATCCAGGTGCGAGGACGTGCCCGAGCCCGTGCTGTCCAGATTCGGTTCGCACGTGATGTGGTCGCGCTACTGTCCGACTCTGAGGCCAGCGAAGTTCTGCTGCGTTCTGATTGGGTTTTTTTTTTCCGAGGAGGCGGCCACGCAATATTTAGCTTTGTCGGGGGTGGCGGCCCCTGCGGTCCAAAGCGACGGTCTTGACGACCGCTACTGGCCCTTTCGGCCCCAGGACTATGCCCAAACCGCGGCCGATCCCCTCCCCGTCAGAACTTGCAGAGCCCAGTTTTTTATGCTTAACCTGTTCTGTGGGAAACGCAGAAGCGGTGATGTGCAGTGGCATCTCTCCTCGTCGCATCCCCTCCCGGAGTGCGAAATCTTCTGCCTCTCGATCGATATTGCGATCGATAATGAGCGAGGCGATTTAACTCAGCACGGCTCTATCAGGTTTTGGATTGGTCACATTCGTGACCGACGGGTGCTCAACACAAGGGGGGGGCCCCCCTGTGAGACTTGGAGCGCTGCTCGCTGGCAAGAAGGGCCCCCCCCCTCTCCGCACCCTAGACGATTTCTGGGGAGTCCCAGGCTGCACGCCCAGGCAACAGGACCAACTCCGCATAGGAGGTCAGCTCCTCCAGGCCTTAGTTCTTATGCTGCGCGAACACATGCGTGCTGGGACTGGTGGGTGGATGGAACATCCTATCCCAGCCACCTGGGTGCCTGATGCCCCCTCCTCCTGGCGTTGGCCCCCGCTCATTGCCCTCGTTTCCTCCCCCGTTTCCAGCATGACTGACTTTGATCAGTGCGAACATCACCCGGCCACTACTGACATGTCTCAGATAGGTCGGGCCCCTACCCGAATCTTTGGAATTCGAATGCCCTCTGCTCCCTGAGGCTCTGACGAACACGCCTGGAGCGGGGCGATGTTCCCACGGCAAAGGGGCCCATCTCACTCCGCTAGGCAGGAAAGGTGATGGATCATGGCGAACTCAGGCCAAGAAGACGTATCCTAGTCACCTCTGCCACGCGATTGCGAAGTCAATTTTGGATAGCGCTCAGCAGATAGTGGCACCAGCCAATGAAGCAGACTTTGTCTTTGAATTCGAGGAGTCAGGCATTACAGATAGTCTCATGCGTTTCTACGTTCCATGGACCCCTGACTGTGATCAAGATTTCGCCCTGGCCCCCGACTTTGCTGGAGGCCACAAGCGTTCTCGTCGCACGGTCGATCCTGAATTCCACAGGTTTTATCCTGAGTCCGAGGGGGATGGAGTTTTCCTGACCCTCCCTCAAGAGGATCAAGATCCCAAGGACCAGAAAAGGCTCTTCGGTTCCCCTCAGAGCCAGTCGGTTTCGACGGCTCGGTGGGCCTTGGAGGTCTCCCCTCTTGTCCCTTCCCCTCCTCCCCCCCCCCCCCGCCCCTCCTTCTCACCGAAGAGCAGCGATCTTTGATCGCCCACAACCGTGCGCAGGCCAGGGTGCGCCGCTCTGTCCGAGCCCAGGCCACCGCCCGTGCCGCCCACGAGGCCAGAGCCCCGTGGACTGCCCAAGGAGGGCAGCTCCTCATCAAAGACCTGTTCATGCAGGACTAGGGTGGAGGAGCGCCTTTCTTCTCTTTTGTTCTCTCTGCTGTCTCTCGATGTTAGGTCGCTTTATTTATGAGAGTTTTCCTGAATAAGAATTGCTACAGTTACAGAAACGTCGGAGCACACTCATGGTCATGCCCCTCGTCGCACACACACTTCCTTATCGTTGTCAATCCTATTTCCCTCCTCCTCGTCCTCCCCGGCCGTCCTTTACCAGTTTCTCCCACCCGTCCAATTATGTCACCACCCTGCCCCCTCCTGGAATGCGCAGCATCGTAAAAACAAAAGTCGACAGGAGCCCTGGACCCCATCCTTCCGAGGTATCCCCAAAACAGCATCGATCCTTCAGGGCCCCCATTGGCCTGAGACAAAGCAGCGCAGCCCCGCTCTGGCAAAAAGGCGACGTCAGGACTTCACCTCAGGGCCCTCAGAGACGACGGCCTTCAGAGACTTCCTCGTCCTTCAGGGACATCCTCCTCATCCTCCTCCTCCTCCTCCTCCTCCTCCCCCTCCGTTTCCTCCTCCTCCTCCTCCTCCTCCTCCTCCTCCTCTCCTCCTCCTTCCCCCCCCTCCTCCCCCTCCTCTCTCCTCTTCCTCCTCCTCTTTCCCCTCCTCCTCCTCCTCCTCCTCCTCCTTCCTCCTCCTCCTCCTCCTCCCTCCTCCTCCTCCCCCTCCCCCTCCCCCTCCTCCTCCTCCTCCCGGCGACAGCGGCGACGGCGGAGCACGACGGCGACCTGCCACGGGGCGCGCCGATCCCCGATCTTCTCGCCGCTGCGGTAGCCGCGGAACCCTCGGAGGGCCTTGCTGACCACGGGCTGCAGCACGTCCTGCCCCGCGCGCCGCCTCTGTGGGCCCCCCAGCCTCTCCCCCCCGGGGGGGGGGGGGGGGCAGGGAGGGAGGGATGGGGAGGGAGGGAGGGAGGGGGGGGTGGAGGGAGTGGGGGGGGGAGGGAGGGGAAGGCAGGGGGATGACGACAATGACGAGGAGGAGGAGAGGGGAGTGAGGGTCGGAGGGAGAGAGGGAGGAGGGAGGGAGGGGGATGATAAGGAAGAGGAGGAGGAGGAGGAGGAGGAGGCGGAGGAGGAAGCGGAGGAGGAGGAGGGGGAGGAGGAGGAAGAGGAGGAGGGGGAGGGGGAGGAGGAGGAGGAGGAGGAGGAGGAGGAGGAGGAGGAGGAGGAGGAGGAGGAGGAGGAGGAGGATCGACGAGGGGGAACATCGTCAGGAGGGGAGCGGGGCGGGCCAGCAACGGGTGCGGCTACACGCGGTGGACCACCATAGGGCCCTCCCAGCCCACATGCGGACGCTTCCGCATGAAGCGAGCCTCGTGGCTGGGACCAGTGGCGAAACGTAGAGATGCAGCGCATGCGAGGTCTCAGGGCGGCGGCGGCGGCGGCGGCGACAACAACGACGACGACAACGACGACGACGGCGAGGACGACGACGACGACGACGACGACGACGACGACGACGGGGACGACCACCACGACGACTACCACACCACGACAACGACGACGACGCCGACGCCGACGACGACGACGATGACGACCGAGTCCCTGGCATGCCCCGCCATCTCTGGCACGCTACTTCTCCCGACCCCTCCAGCTTCATGATATCGTGGATGGTCATGAGGACGAGGATCGCGAGTGTCCTGACGCCCAAGAGTGGGAAAGGGGAAAGCAGCCTCGTCGGTCTCTTCCTCCATCTCTTCCTCCTCTCTCCCCTTCCCTCCCGCATCCCTTCGCCCCCCTCCCACCCCTCCCCCTCCTCCACCACAATCCCTGTTATAGATAAGTTCCTCCCGTCCGACCGCCAGACGTGACTGTAGGGCGGGCCAGGCAGTTCGCCGAACGCTTCCCAGATCATTATCTCGCAGCTTGGAACTTCCAAAAAACTACACGGCTGGAGAGGGCGCGCCGTTTTCACCATGTGGCTCTCGCTTCCGCGCCGCGCATACTCGGCATGCTTGTTTTTTTTTCCGAAAGTTGCATGGACGGAAGGGGTCATTTCAAAAAGGTGGTTGCTGTTGCAGCGGCGCGCACATGTGTCATGCAATATTCCAACAGCTACGTTGGTGGAGAGGGGTGTTCCCAACATGTGGTTCTCGCCTCAGCGCTGCGCACATTCGATTGAACCGCTTCCAGCATTGTCACTATTGGCGGGGGCCCTGTTTCCAATGTGGCTCTCGCCTCAGTCTCACAACAAGTACAGGGATGGCCATCATTATGGAAATGCGGCAATCGCTCATCGCCATGGCGCCACGAACATTCGCCTGTCAAGTCTTGCAACGCTCGCACGTCACACTGCTGGGGTGCGTTTTCAAAAGGCGGCTCCAGCCGCAGCGCCGCGCACATTCATCGTAATTAACATCTTCGAACTGCTACACGGATTGGACGGTGCCGTTGACAAAACAACTTTCGCTGAAAGACTTCCTGAACCCTTCTGGTCAAAATCAAAAGAATGTCCGACCACCGTACGGATGGAGGGCGGCTCCTTATCAAACCAGGGCTCTCGATAGAGTCCCTTCAGTTTCACAGCCGGGCTGCTAGTATGGAAGACAAATTGCACGGATTGGAGGGCGGCTCTTTTTCAAAGCGGGCCTTCGCTGGATACCTTCCCGGGCTGTCTGATCCCACGTGACGGCGCGCACAATGGGGTATGGTGGATGGGGGAAGCTTATTAGAACTGAGGCTGCTTCTTAGAAGGCGCCGGCCTCACATCTACTCATCAGTCCCGCGATTTCTACGAAGAATGGGTGCTTCAAAGAAGCCTTCACCCTCCCCCTACGGCCGGACTTCAGAGAGAAGGACATCCGTCAAGAGCACGAGACCCTCCGCCAGCCAAAACAGCCCAAACCATCAGATCCACTCGATCGACTCGAGGGCTCCCTCGCCCCAGGATGCACGAGAACATCCAACAAGCACGAAGGACATGAGGGTACCTCCCCGAACCGACCTCGATCTTACACCTCGGTCCGACCGTAACCCCCTCCTGCTCCTCTTTGGAGTCCCGAAACGGTGCGGTGACAGACCGTGCGGTGACCTCGAAATCCCTCAATGAGACCTCACCGCACGGTCCGTCACCGCACGGTCTTGGGACCCCGGAGGCCCCTGCCGCCCGAGACATCCTCGGAGAACGACCCGAGCCCCAAAACCGTGCGGTGACCCCGAATTTGGGCGCCCGAGTAACCCGGGGTAGCTCGGGTCCGGGGTAACTCGGGCCCGGATTCCCGAAACAGGAACCCGAGTTGACCCTGAC